TATGCAACACAATTCAGATCCTCGATGTTCAGCACTTACCTTAAACGCAATGTGCTCGTTCGTGCCCCCACCATGCCTCAAAGTCATCATGCATCTCGGCGTGGCTTCATTGGGAGAAAGAGAAAACACTAGTTCTGATTCCGGGTCGATCTGTAGGTTTTGGCTTGCCATCGTTAATATAYGGTGTCGTTGATAGAGAAAGTGACGAATACTGAATCATAGAGCTTGGGTGRACTAAGATGAAAGTGAAGGACATCAGCACCCACTGCGTGCGATGACTTCATGAAAACAAGAAGCCGGATTTCGGCGAAGCACGAAAAAAGACAATACTATCGCACAGAGATAACTACGAGAACGTACTGTAAATTCTTACAGCAAATGTTTTTCTGCTTAGCCCTCCGTACAGAGTGTTCGGACTCTCGTATTCAAACACTACGCTACGTACCGTATCGTACTTACCGTACGTCCTATTGTTTTGAGCTACCGGTACCAGAAAGAAACTTTCGAGATTAACGAGCCGTTACAAACTCCGACGCGCATGCATGTTTTGAATAGGCAAGACAAAAGCCGACAGGATCAACTGGAACGGCACATGTTGCACCGCCCGGAGCTACGTACCTACTGTATGTACCATATGAAAGTACGTACCAGTTTAACTAGAAAGATATGCATTAACCATACCGTACGGTAGGAAACCCTACGAGGTCCTACAGGGAAAAAAGGCATTTTACAAAGAACCGAAAATAGCTCGCGCGACCAAAACTAGTAATATTGGAATAATCCTTCACACAGTGCTATTTTTCATGTAGTAGTTTTGATTTTAACAACAATTTGGGCTCAAATGGATCATTCCCTTTCTTAATCCAGATGGTCTACTTTTTGACATACAGACAGACCAAAAATAGACCATCTAGTAGTCCAAATTTTTAGACTTTCTGTCAACGCATGATGCTTGGTGACAGAAAGTCTAAATCTAGACTGGTGGTGGAATCCTCCAAGAATGAACAAAATCTGTTGACCAGCAATGACTTATTATTACCCAAAAAAAGTGCAGGCACCCTTTTCCGCCCAGTCTTACTACGCGTAAAATAACAATTGAAACTACGTTAATGGGGGCATTGGGAACGTTAATTTAACATTCCAGCAAATGTTACCAGCATAGGCTGCATAGAAATGAGTACTGTGTTTTTTGCTTCAATTTAAYGTCCTGGTGAATGCTTTGCTTAATAGTCTGAATATTTGCTTAACAGACTGAATATTAGCAGGGGAGGCGTCCTCTTCTTCCTCTTTTTAAGATCCCTTCTTCCTTTTTTAGGCACGTGCAAGACTGAATGAAGAATGYGGATAATACTAGGATCTACGTAAGCCTATGTGAACAATTTAACATTCTGTACGTTAAATTAACATTCCGTACGTTAAATCAAACATTTGGAATGTTAAATTAACGTTCCCAATGGGTCATGATTCCAAATTCCTTCAAGACCAGAAAGAGCGCCTAAAAAATGTCTGTTGGGCCCCTGTTTTTAATGATTCCCGTTAAACTAAAAAGTCTAAAAGGTCTACTACTTTAGATTTTTAGACCATCTAGACTAACGGGAATGACCCAATGCCTCCATTAACGTAGTTTCAATTTTTATTTTACGCGTAGTAGTCATTTCTGTTGAGATTCCAAATTCCTATGACTAGAAGAGCCCCTAAATGGGGGCTCTGTTTTGAATGATTCCCATTAAACTAAAAAGTCTAAAGTAGACCCGACTTTTAGACCATCTAGATTAACGGGAATGACCCAATATGATTCTAGTCCTGTATTTCGGACCCTCATTTTTTCTAATGACTAATTTGACTAAAAAGCAAAGCTACTTGATCCGGATGAGTAGAGAATTCCTCGTATGTTACGTCTCGTACGTACAGTAGATCCACTATTTCTAGTGAGACGAATCGGCATGAAGTTTTAGAAAAAAGAGAGCAGAAGATGGAAAAATGGCGCGGTACTTCCTTCTGTACGTCGACGTATAGAAGGAAGGACCGCGCCGCTTTTTTTTCCTATTTCGCTTCATTTGATTGGCTCAATGAGATTTTGGCAAGCTCGAGCCGGCGGAAGACGAAATAAAAATCGTCTGCTACGAAAATTGTCATGATTTTCGTTCCCGCTCCAGAACCCTGTCCTCACCATTATTTGYCACTCCCGTCACAACTTCATTCAGAGTCCCTCAGCGATCCTTAAAATAATCCGACACGATGCCGGCCGAAACTCTTCCGAAGTTACCACTTGTATGCCTCAAGACAGCCGATTTTAAAAACACGGACCAGGTTGTAGAGGGCAAAAACACCATTATCGGTAAGTTATCATCCTTCGTGCTTCAGAAAACGACATTTGACGTATATGCATTTTCGTGCCACTCTGCTGACAATCAACTATTATTTTGATACCTGTCTAGATTTTTGGACCACAAAATGCACACGATGTCCAGATGCGCTGGACAGGCTTGATGAAATGGCTCAAGATCCGAAGTACCAGGATGTACAATTTATTAGTATTTGTTGTGACAAACTTGACGGTGCCCGAGGTATTATTGAAAAGGASGACGATTTACGATGGCAAAACGTGAACCACTATTTCATGTCGAAAGAAGACAAAGAGACAGCAAAAAGGTTGTTGGGATTTCAACAGGTACCATTTTACGTCGTGATGGACGAGTACGGAGCAATCACACAATCAGGGAGCGGACGTCAGGTCGATTTCGAAGAGGTACCTGGAGTAGTGCGCCCAGACTCAGATTCCAGTGTAGGTCTGGTGACTGATTCCGATGAAGACAACGAAAGTTTTGATGATATGGGTCTTGACTTCGAACTAGATTTTGGGAATAAACTCATACTTGAGGACTCTGAATCACTACAAAGTTCATCGAGTACGAGCAGCCCTGTTGAGGTACTTGATGAATCCATATTCGATTTAGACGACTTTTAGAGGGGAATAAAAATGTAAGGGGCATAAATGTATCATTAACTGTCTAACCAACAATATAAACTGTGAGATATTCGTCAGAATGAAGAAAAAAATAAGGAATATTATTGGAAAGAGCTATTGTTTCATCCTGAGAGTTGTTCGAAGAAAGGCAACCAGAGGTTAACTATGATAGGATCTGGTCAACTTCCTCAGCTGTTACTTCTTTCACGCTGGAGTGTTGCCATCCMTCGAAGGGCGGTGCAAGGGACTCATTACCGCCGAATTTTCGAACATGGGTCAACCAATTACCAAAATCGGGTTTGTTCATCAGTGCTCGTTGTGCTTTTCCCTCCCGGGCCATACAATTCTCCATATTTGCTGTTCGCTCTCTTCCCATTTTCATCAATTGATATACCACACGTAAAGATAATGGCGATTGTCGCTCCATACGATCCAACAGTTGTTTTGCAAGTACAGGAGTGGAAAGATTTTCACTTCCTGAGCTAGCAGCTGCAACTTCTCTAAGGCCTTCCATTAAACCCTCCAGAGAATTTTCTTGCCGAAAAACATSGTCCAACTCGGCTGCCATACTAACGAGAGTACTTGAAAAGAACCCTTCATCCCACGGCACATGGTCCACATCCAAGGAAGCGTCGTCGCAGCCGTCTTCATAAATAGAGGTAAAATCGAATGGGAAATCATTGGACGCATCAGCCGACACGTCTGAAATTTGTGAAATCAACTGTGCGATGCTATGATTTCGAAATTTACCGTTCACATCATGAAGTTGATTAGGGCTAGGGCGTTGCGATTGTAGTTGTTGTTGCAAGTAGTTCTGTTGTTGTCGTTGACGATTTTGATTGTGGATGTTTCGATTTTGCCCATAAAGCTGTCTAGGCTGGCGTACCAATCCTTGTTGATTCCACGGTGGCAGAGTAGCCAATTCCTCTTCTAATATTGGCAAGATACCCGAATCGCCTATCAGATGCGTTGCTAAACCTGTTTCAATCATGTCAGATGCATTTGCCTCGTATCCCGCGAGTGCCAYTATCATACCGCATCCCGAATATTTCTTAGATTCTTGGTCAAATTCCCAACCAAGTCGAGGCAAGATGAAGGAAAAACCAATGGGATCAAATGAAAGGCCGCGAGAGGGGTTGAGAATTGAAACAGAAGTTTCCTCCGTTGCCAGGACGTAAGAACCCATACATAAAGCGTAGCCACCATCAGTAACTGCTCCATGAGGCATGCTTATGATGGGAATTTTGGTTTCGGCACCGAAACCTTGTACTGCCACAGCTACCTTGCGAAGAGATTCCAACAAGTAATCAATATCATAATTGTCATCAGTATTGGTCTTCACTGGGTTATATCCTCCTGATACATACCAAGTATGATCAGGTGCGGGATCCACATCGAGCCCTACGCCCGAAAGATCAATTTTGTTGCGGTCCGTTAGATATCGAGGCAAACAATTATTGTTATTCGTATCAGACACATCGTTACCATAGTCAGCTTGGTCGTCAGTCGCGATCAGCACGCTATTGATGCCCTCGCTCTTAGACAAAGCTCGAATGCGATGGGCCAATCCCTCGAGATCTTCTGCATCTAGATATGGGTCCAACAGAAAGACCCGACGACTATTTCCCATCGCTCTCATAGTCACATTTGCAAGGCTCTTGTCATCTCTGATGTTGGTGTAATCACTGGCACGAGTAGGGACTCGTTGCACCGTCAATGGAACCTCGGCAGATTTTGCCATCTCTACCATCCGAGCAGCCTCTGACGCCGCCTCTTTGGCCATATGTTTCGAAATACGAGGTCGGGTGATTACCCGCGATGCTACAGCACGGACCATTCTTGTTATTGTCTCCTTTTATGTGTTGTAAAATGGTCCCTCTTGATGGGCACTAAACRCTTAGAATGTGCGGTGTGTGGATGTCTCTGAAGCGCTCCTTCTTCGGATGATTTGCGGTACCTTACAACAACTTTCCAAGGCAGGAGGAGCTCTGTCAGCTGGGCTCGTCGTATTTGATTTCTTACTGCTGGTATGTGCCGTACAAGTACTCGTACTCATTTCTGGTAAAATATTACAAGTACTTCTTGTCACCGTTCTCCTGGTTGTTTGTTGGAGTCTGTCTGCGTCGGGGAAGATAATTTGTTCGTACCCACAACCCACCAGGGGTCATAAATTTAGACCCCTGCAACCCACACGGTAAGGATTCTATGTACTGGAATATGTACAATACATACGTTACTGTATGAAGAATGAAGAAGTATCGTACCGTACAGGAGTACTTTAATACGTATCGTATCATAAGAGTTTTACGTAAGTACGGTGGTACTACCATACGGTACAGAACGAACTTATTTTCACTCAGTTTTCTACCGTACCAGTAACTCGTTCTGCGCTGCGCGAAGAAAGCCCAGGGAACAGCGGAAGCGTTAGCGAGAGAACAGATGAAAAAGTTGATTGATTCGGACACGGAGTTAGTTGATACTTCTCCTTCAACACTTGACGTATCTGTACACCGTCGTATCAACATCAGTACTCGTACAGCGTTGAACAATCAAACAAAATATATCAGAGTATGTCATTCTTTGCCGCTGGACGAGCAACCACAAAGGCTTCAAGCCGAGTGCTGTCTCGCCGTATGTCAACGGCCCCAAGATTGCATAAAGCGAAGGATGAATGGGCTCGGTTCGCAGGCAAACGCCCTGCTCCTGATGTGAGTCCCCTCCCGTTCATAATGTCGTAAACCATTGGTTTCGTATCGTTGTAAACCACTGTTTTCGTGTCAAATTTGTTAATTGCATTCGTTTCATTCAGCTTGGTGCTAAACCTTGTTCTGCTTTCAATTGATGTATTTCCGTTGTAGCACTTGGACGCGCACAAGTGCTTTCATCCACCATACAATCCTGCTGTGATCGGAGGAGGAATCATCGCGGTTTGGGTTATCGGCTACGGAAGTATGTACTTTGGCTTCGCATGGCAACAAAAGAAGCAAGGATACTGGAAATGAAGCCCCATTGGCAATCTCGTATTTTCGGTGTAACACCATTGACGATGGAAGGATGGACGCTCGACAGAATGACGAGTTAGTTCACAAGAATATTTGGCCGTCAGATATTAGAAAAACAGCTCTTGGTATTGATATTGATACTTTATGCAGTAATTGACTATAACGAACTACCAACCCTCTTCTTGAATATAGCACTTTATCGCGATGYCAATGTTGCTATGTAGTTCCAACTGGTGTGTTCGGCTTGTTAACGAAGTGCAGCTTTTGGTGTCGTTAATGTAGGTAGCACTTTGAAAAGAGAGCAAAGACACCAAAAGCATCGCTAGAGCTCCAGGGTCGACAACAGAGGAAATCCTTTTTCTTGGATGGGTAAAAGAGAAAATGTATTGTCATGGAAATGTGTTCAAAGAACTCATTAAAAACTATCATATTATGATCTTTCATAAAACTACTACTAATACTAATGTGGCATGCTACTAGTAGTTCCTTGCACTTCCCTAGCTTTTACAGACCCCTTACCAATACTACCAATGATATCAATCATTACTTTAGTAAATGTCCACCAGATTATGTCACATAAGATTTAATGGCGTTTGAAGTATACTCCAAAAGAGGACTTCACAAAAGGGATCATGTGCCCACTGCTGGCTCCTCCTGCCCATCTATCTTGAACCCTAGAACCCACAACCCTGACTCAATACTCTACTTCCTTCCAGGAAAYCCCAGTACATTTGTGATAGTAGCCTTGTTGTCATCCTTGCAATTTTAACCCTTGGAGCAACAAGAAGCAATCATCAATCTGTTGAAGAATGATGCCATTTACTAGTAGAGTGCTTCAACGTTTTGGTTAGCTAAGTACTTGTTGTCTTGAAAGATCTTCTTCATCAAGATATATTCATCACTTCTCTTGCAGTAATCTGACTCTAGGATGTTTTCATCCTGCTGTATTTTTCTGTGCCTGGTATCACCACAAAGAATACATCATGATCAAATGAATACAGTCCTTTTGTCTAGCAGTGTCAAGACATTACCGGTGGTAGTAGTAGCTTCAACTGAGCCTTGCTCTGTGTTGCTCTCACATGAGGTTGTCCCTCAGGGAGATCCCCTGTCCATGGTCCTGTACTGTTTGTCCTTTGTACCCTGTACAAAGACACTGTGACACTGTGAACTAGAAGAGGCATTGGGCGGGTAGGCCAAAGCCATTACCTCTAATGAGAACAATGCTCCTAGTAGTAGTTCCAAGGGGTTGTACCTCCCTCCAAAGAGATGTGATGGAGGAACAACCATTGGAGGGGGTGGGCTGGTTACGTGGTGAACAATTGTGCCATAGTTGTATGTGTTGCACTTTCAGGAACCAAAGATGGCCTTTGCAAAGTAGACTGTTTGCATCTTTTCTTTTAGTAGAAGTACCAACTACTATATATCAAAGACCAGCCAAGGAGGGGAAATACTGACTAATTGGAAGTGCATTGGAAACAGAATTGGTAGAGGTAGCAGTGCAGATCCTTGCAAGACGTGATGTCCCAGCATAGACTCTGAGGTAGTATGAAAAAGAAGTATTAGTAGCTCAAGAAAGGAATCTTTCTGGATCCCCAGGGAATAAGTGAGTATGTGAGGGACAACAAGTCTGTGGTTTGAGGGTGAACAAATGTTGAACTTGCTGTGTCAACCACTTGCATCATTGCAGGTCTTGTTACTGGTGTGAACAAAGATAGTGGATGTGAATATCTTTACAGTGTTGTGTTGTTCACATAAAGACATATGGGAGCTTAGAAAGAACTCTGTGTTTCCTGACCTGATTCAAGGATGGTATGCTGAGGATGACACAGGTAATGCATGGCCATGTTTCTGACATTGTTGCCATGATGAAGGTGCTGTTTGAGCAGAGACCATTATGTAGATATTTTACTGAGCTCAGGCAACAAGAGTATTTTTATCAGTGTTGGACATCCAGCTCATTAGGACAAGTCAATAGGAGATTCTTTTCTTGGAATTCAATTGGAAGTTCTTGTTGGGTGGTCATCAATATATCAATGGATTCATCATCATCCATTACTACTAGTACTAGTACTAGTACTAGTACTAGTAGTACTACTAGTAGTAGTACTAGCTAGGCAGTAGTACTAGTACTACCACCAGTAGTACTACGTCACATAGTACTACCAGTAGTACTAGTACTACTACCAGTAGTACTAGTACTAGTATTATTACTAGTAGTAGTAGAACCACTGTATCTTGTGATCTCTGGCTCCCTCCAGCCCTAAGTTGCAAAATGTGGAGAGGGT